AAGTTTATGGTTTATTTATTCATTTGGTTTTATCTTATATTTGTTGGTTTATGTTTTTGTTTTGTTGGTTTTTCAATAACAAATGTATTTCTTTAAGAAAAAAAATGACCCCCTGATCAGAACACCTACGCACTAACCCACTGCGCCACACGCCTCATATGTTCATAATTTAGTTTTTGGGAGAAGGGGTGGGATTAAATAAGTGTAAACTTCCTCCCACCCATTTTCGGATGTCTAATTAAGTAGATTATTTGTTTATATAGAATTTAGAGTCCGTAATATTTTTGTTTATCAATTTGACACTGCTTAAGTTTGTATAGTATAGTAATTCTCATGTTTCATTTCATTATTATTATTTTTTGTTTGTATCATTGTTTTACACATTCGAAATAAATCAAATCAAAATCCTTTATCTGTGCCTTGCCTTTTGTTCCAGGAGGAGCTGACGGAGCTGGTGAAGAAGGAGCACGGCAGGATCGACAGCCAGGACCAGAGAGAGAAGAGCAAAGGAGCGGCAGCCAATGAGAGCTCTGCATCTGAGGCACCAGCGGCTAAAAAGGAAGAGTAAAAAAACGTCCTTTTAGAGAAGCTACTGGAGGGATGTCAGAGTTTCGCTTGGCCCTTAAAGAGAAATCGTGATACAAAGATTTTGATTTGGAATTGAAGCTCATTTTAAAATGTCATTCTGAACAACCTCCATCTTGAAATCACTGTGTGGAAGGACTTGGGGAAACAAACACAAGTCGTTGAGAGGCTGAAGTCTGAAGCATGGTTGTCTTTGTCTGATGCGCTACCGAAAACACTTTGCTGAGATAAAAAGAATCTGGGAAGTATCTTAAATTAGAAAGGCCCTGTTATGCTTTTCGGCGTTCCCCTCTGCAGTAGATTTCTGTGCATGTAAATGGTCTGAAAAAGCTAAAACACATTGTACCTGATTGGCTAAGGGGCGGGACATCTCTAAGCGGTTGATCAACCACAACAAAGCCGGCCAGCTAACCAATCAGAGCAGACTGGGCTCTGGTTTCAGACAGAGGGTGAAAAGAGGTGCACAGGCAGTATGAGAAGAATAAAGAGCTTTTTGAACATTAAATCATGGAGACATGTCCCAGTAGAGACACTACACACTGATATGAACCTGAGAATGAACAGAATAGGTTCCCTTTAATTAAAAAAACTTTATAATATGCACCCAAATGTTATCTGAATAATCAAAAATGTTACAGACTTCAAAAATAGAAAGACTCTTCAACCCTTTCGTCCACAATCACCTCAGGGGCACAGGTGAGTACATCGAATATCCATTTGACCAACCCATAGTGATCACACAACATTCAATTATAATATAATAACAAATACCAACATTTAACAAACCTCACAACAACAACGTTCCACTCTGTGAGCTGTTTGGCTCCTGCACTGTGTTTTAAGCTTGTCAATTGCACTTTACTGACATGTATCTACTTTCCTTATTTGTTTTTTGCATAATTTGATTCTGAGGAATCAAATTATGCAAAAAACAAATAAGGAAAGTAGATACATGTCAGTAAAGTGCAATTGACAAGCTTAAAACACAGTGCAGGAGCCAAACAGCTCACAGNATCGTTAAAAAAAGAGGAGGGCGAGGACACCGCAGCAACAACAACGGATGGTTAATGTTCGTCTGTTTTTGCTAAAGAGCAGACGCGCCGAATTTAGGACAATGTTGCCTGATATCAATCAACAACTGCTGTAAGATCCGAGAGTCTAAATTCGCAGGATCAATCTGATGAGTCCACTGATGTGTCCCGGCTCTGCGCAGCTCATGCGCACTGGCGCGAGGAGGAGGGGAGAACGCAGAAGTGAGACAAGACTAGAGATTACTTTTGAGCAACATGCATGGGAATAAATTACAATTAATACATTTCTCGCTACTTCCAGATGTCTGCTGCCTGGTGCTGCTGTTGCGCATGTGCAGTAGTGTCTCTTTTCGCACCATGGACATTATCAGTTATTAATTTGTTTTTCATGCTTGAGAAAATGGACTTGTGGCTGACAGCGTTTGAAAAATGTCAATTGTGTGAGAGTTGGCAGCCCGTGTGAACTAACTCCTCTTGACATTATTATGTATGAAAACTGCCAATCAGATTTTTTACTTATTATCGCAGAGGTGCGGAACGCTGTTCCTGGATCGTCCGGCCCACTTTACCGTGTTGTTGTGTGTGTGTGTTGTGTGCAAGCGTGGAACATGTTTCAATGGGGGTGCTGTGGGGAGACACCAGGGCTGGTTCTGACCAATGTGCTGCCCTATAGGCAAATATTTTAGCTGCAATGAAAAACGCTCTACAAAGACCAATAGACTATGAAAAGAGAACATATGTGCATGGTGGGACAGCTTATACAAAAAGGCTTCAAATGTAATTTAGTATTATAACATGTTTTAATTGGGGGTGGACTTTCACATCCCTTAGCGGGGGTCCGGGGTGCCCCTGGGAAGATTTTTTTAAATTTTAAAAGTAAATCCCGCTTAATCCTGGTGCAGCTTTGAGCGCCCAATTATAGACCTGATCAGGGGGTACACTCAAAAACACCATAATGGAAGGGGCCGGGGGGCGGCGCTGAAGAGATCGGTGTGCGAGGGTTGGGTTAGGAGTGCGTAATAATAGAGCGTATGCTGGACGGACGAGTGGGTGTTCAACTGAGATACCAGCGTGTGACGGCGGGCGCGCGCAATAACAAATAAATGTGACACTTGATTTTACTGTTTTGGGGCGGGTGTTCATTCATATCTTATTTTACCAGTTAACATTGTATTTATTTACTGCATGAGAGCGGTGTGTCCAATCTCTCCACTTTAAACAATATTTTGGTACTGTCCTATAGTCGGCCCGGGGAGTGCAGCGCTTGGCGGGAGGTCAAACCTGTTTTTATTTATCCTAATGAATTAATAAAGGTGTGGCGGGCGGGGAAGAGCGGGGGTTTGGGGGTTACAGGTCGAGATTGGCGTGATCCATACCGGCGAGGCGCGGCGGGGGCGACGGTGGTGTGAACTCCGACTGAGCATAATTAGACGCGGAGAGAAGAAGTGGAGGACGTGGGTCGCGGCGGGCTCCGGTGTTATCACTGCAGCTTCAGTTGGGAATTCTCACATTTTTGTGGCTTCTTATCGTTAGTGCGAGGCTTGCGGTACCGTTCAGTCCTCTTATTTGGCTGGAAGCTGCGGCGCCTGATAAGCCACATCCCCACTTCAATCATACACGCGCCCATCGTACAGGGCAAATGGAAAAATGTAACCAGGTGAAAAGGTGTTCTTTACTTAATTAAGTGATTCTGTTTAATCAGGCTGAAAATTCATTTTTTGGTATTATATTAGTATTCATATCTTGTAGAAGTGCAGATCCCTGTCTCCACCAGGGGGTGCTGCAGCACTATTTTGCTGCTGTTACGTGCCGTAGTGTGTGTGTGTGTGTGTGTGTGTGTGTGTGTGTGTGTGTGTGTGTGTGTGTGTGTGGCTATGTGTGTGAGCAACAGAAATGTCAGATATGTTGCATTTATTGATTTAGTTTGATATGTGTGTCTTCACTTGCAGAGAGAAGCAATCAGCTCCATGGACTGCCTTGCATCACTCCAATAGTGTATGGAGCTGGCTGCCATTACAAGTAGTGGTTTGGGATTGTAGCAATGCAGTTGCAGTTATTTTGCAATGTACTTGATATATGTTGCAATGCAGGCATGTGTTCAATTGTTTATAGCCTGCATTTATTTTGTGATTAGACTTTTATAAATCATTTAATTTTAACTAAGAGTGAAACACTTGATGTGTTATCTTTATGTGTGTGTGTGTATGTTCTGAAATGCACTTCAAATGATCACTTTTCTCTTGATTTCCCTTTGATATTTTGTGTAGGTGCAGTGTTACTTGCAGCTAATTGATTGATTGTTTTATGGGTATTCTGTGTTGAGATGGTGCAAATATTTTTTAATACATATCTAATATCTTTCTAATACATTGCTCTTGTGTTGTTCTTTCACATAACTAACACTATAGAAGTGTAAAAAATAGGCTACGTCAGATTATTCCAAGGGACATACATGTCAAGTCAAGTCCATTTTCATTTATATAGCCCAAAATCACAAATCAGAATGAGGGGGTCCTTGGTGTATTCTCTATCTTGTAAGGGGTCCTTGGCTGAAAAACAATTGAGAACCTCTGCATTAGACTACCAAAAAAGTAAAATAAATAAATAAATTCTAATAATTTTTTTTTTTATGAGATACATTTGTGGCGGACGATATTTAATTGTATGGGAAACACTGCCATGATATGGCGTTTCATCACGGCAGTATTTAGTTTAGACAGTAGCTGCCGGGTCCCGCATGAGCTCAGCCCCTCTTTTTTTATTTTTGTACAGCTTTATACCCAAAATCAGCACTTTTGAAACAGGAAGTGAAATAGAGGGATATGAGGCATGGCTAGAATGGGTGATCTGTTTGATCTTTTGAGCAAAACACTCCATAGACATGTTTTTTATATATTTGTATATATCTGAGACTATTGCCTAAAAATAGCATGATAGGTGACCTTTAAATTATTTTTACTGCTTTCGATGCAACAATATAAAAAGGAAAACGAGAATCTTTTTATACATTTATTGTATTTACTTGAATACAAAAGTGCACAAAATGGAGAAAGAAAATGTTGTCCCCCAACAAATGAAAGATTAAAAATGAATTGTTTTATAAAAAGGGGAGACATGAAGTATAGTCCACTCTTCTCAAAGGAAATGGATTCACTGGTGCTTGATGCAAGCAACAAACCTGGTGCCAAGTGACGGGAGGATGGAATGATGTAACACAAAGTGTAAATCCTCTCGCTGCTGCAGTGCCAGCCGGACCTGGAGGAGCCTGGTGCCTCCGCTGGATTATCACCGCCTCATTAATGTACATGAAAGCACATTAGAGCAAAGCACAGCGACCAGATTATAAAATACATCCTGTGTACTTGTGTTGTAAATAAATTATAATTAGGTCCTGGGTTTGGTAGCGAAGGTGAGGTACCCTGTGTGCCCTTGCACATCTCTGGGCGGGATGGTGGTCTTAACGGCGATGGAGGCGTGGTTTTGAGGCGGTGTGATGGTGGAGTCGGGCTGAATCTGAGCAGAGGGGTCCGGGCCGAAGTCCGGCAGCGGCAAGTAGACAGTCCGCACGTCGTGGACCCTCAGCAGGACCTCTAAGGAGTTGATGTCCTCGAAACCCTGATCGGAAAACGCCTCGCACGTCTTCTGAACCTGCTCGATGCACGGAGAGAACGAACACACCCGGCCTCCTGCAGAGAAGAGAGAGAGGACAGGTGTTTAACAGCTCTGTCTAACCATTGGAGGTATACAATTGGAGCAAAAGAGAGCATGCATTTCAGATTTAGTTAACAACAGTAAATAAATCCAGATGAATCGAGAAGGTAAAAAAGAGGGAATAAGACTTAAACAAGTTTTTTTTTTTTTTAAAGAAGAAAAAACTATACAAGAGCAATTTAAGAGCCAATGAGCTGCTGGTAGCGTTTCTTCATGGAAGCAAATTGGCAAAACAACCGGTCAACTTGTTCTCCACATTTTCGGGTCAAGGCCACCGAGAATAAATAGGTTGATGGCACTCCACTGTTACAAAGTTGTCTGGTATTTTTGGGAGGTAGCTTTTAGTGTGAGAAATTTGTGAAAATACCGAGAACATTTCTACTGCCTGAAGGAAATGACTTCTTCAGCTGATGATAAACATACTGACCTGCGATGTTTACTTTAAAATCATCTGCTTTCAAAACGTACAAAAACCAGAAGCACTAACTTTTGGTGTCCTGGTTGTCCACAAAAACCAGACTGATGTAACCCAGGAACAGAGACGGTCATAGAAACAGGAATTGCCAACAGTTGTAAATAAATAACTCTGTGTGGCGCTCTTAAAACACGCCTTATTCTCTTAGTGAGATTTTGTGGGATTAAAAAAATGCTTTACGCATAAAAATACTCAAAAAGATAACACTTTTTACCATCTTTGCATCCAAAATAAAAGCAAGGGTTAAACATCTCAAAATTGAAGATGTAGAAGGAGTTGTCATTGGTTTGCTTGTAAGAATTAAGCTTTAAAAAAACGCCATGGACAAGATAAATAATCTCAACGCGATGTTTAAACTAAATATGGACTCAGGAGACATCCAGTCTACTCCAGGGAAACTTGTGATACTACTACTTATATGTGTTTATCTTATATACGAAAGAACGTTTCAAAACAGACAGGCCTGAGACCTGACGGGCTGCAGTTTGTGGATCATCAGGGGATGAACCGGTGCTGTAATAAACTCAGATCACTTCTTTGAGGAGGCCTTTCGTCTCTAAATGAAACCCCGCAGAGATTTCGCAGCAGGAGGCACGAGCAATAAGCCAAGGACACTTTCGCCGGCTGACCTGAAGAGCGAAGAATGTGACTCTGAACCGTGCAGCTGGAGAAGGGAGGCTTTAACGAAACACAATGATTTGATATACATTGTATAATCTAAAGCGCTGAGAAATAATGTTGTGTTTTCTGCAGACTGAGATGTTTAGTTAGCCTTGCTCAGCACTATTTATTAGTTCTTCTCATTGCAACTATGTTTTGTTACTTTTCATTTGTTTGGTGTAATTCTCATGTATTCTGTGAAGCACTTTATAACCTAGATTAGTATCATGAATTCCGTGCAACTCAACTATTTAATGTAATAAAATGATTGTATTTGAATGATCCTTTTTTAACTGCAGCTCATTGATAGAATTATCAAAATATCAGCAAAGAAGGGAATTTGCATGAATAATAAAATGGTTGTCCTTAACCTGCATGATCTAACCTTAGTACTAGTGGAAACTAATTGTAAACACAACATTCACATATCATTAACTTTTAGGTTGATATGGATTTATTTCGCTTATTTACACATCCAGTTACAAATCAACATGGTCATTTATTATTAGGTGTGTTTTTATTATAAATACGAGTACAATATTCCAACTTTTTTTGTTCTCCGCCAGCCCCTGACCCTATATCTGGTAATTTCGCTTTTTAATGCTCGATTTTCCTCAGCAGCCAGAGTTTTCTCTACCATTATAAGCCTTATAAGCACAACCTGAGCCGAATGAACGGTTCTGGTTTGTCTCCAGTGGACTTCTTCAGTTTTATCTTTGAGCTGTTTTCGGTGTTGTTCATTTATAACATCTTTTAGTTCATTTTTTGTACACACATATGGTAATAATAATAATAATCCAAAATTATTGAAATTACATATTTTTTAAGTGGATAATGTGGACTCACAATCCCACCCTAGTTCCTGCCTTTCAGCCATTTGCTGCCGAGTAGTTACAGGTTTCTTTCCTAATAAATCAGCACTATGAGACTTTGGGAATGAGCCAGGACAGAACTTTAGCAGACAGACAGATAAATAAAGAGCTTAAACTCACGTAAACAAAGTCCATGATTCAGCTCATTATTCTCTGTATGTTCATCACTAAAAGTTTTTGCATGATTGTTGGTTGTATATGGTTTGAGGAAAATTCTTAATTTGTGGTATAAACACAAACATTTGATTCCAAACGCATTTAGTATAAAGTGCACTTTAAAAGTAGTCCTTAAAGAAATCCTGCTCTGTATTCAAGGCACCACCAAGAGAGGACAGCCATTAGTATTCAAATCCTGCTTTTCTACTGCTTCCAAGCCACGACTGTGTCTGTTTCCTTCTGCTCATTAAAGCTTAGCTCACACTTTGGAGGGGAATAATCTGCAGGAATAATGCGAGAGAAACTGAAATAATGGGAAACTTCATATTCCAGAAACCCCCATGCTGAGTTAGTGACTGAAATAAAGAACGCGTCTGCAGAGGGAAGCCTCGTTGAAGGGTCCATTGTGTCCGACAAACACTACTATTCGGGGTTGTTGTAGATAGCAGACGTTCCTTTATCTAACAGGAGCAGCGTTTCCCCTCGAGACCGCCATAAACACACCTCTCCTAACAACTGAACACACAGGGAGGGGTCTGGTAGATGATTAGACAAGGGCGGGTATTAATAACACTAAATATCAACCTTACGTGCATGAATAGATTCTATACGTGAGTAAAACCTATGATTCCCTTATCGGGTTGTTGAGTGTTTGAGTTCACGGGACATGTTTGCTTTATAGTTTCCTAGTAAAAGAGTCTTAGAGGGAGCAGGGAAGGAGGGTTAATCAGGATCTTTATCCCAGTCCAGACAGGGCTGCAGGCCAAAACATCTTAGAGTTACAGCTCTTACATGCTCTCCACTGCAGCTAACTACTTTTTTTTCCTTGAGCCTGAGTGCAAATCTGTTTGTGCAGAAAAATGTACGAATGAATTCGGGCTGCGGGTGATACGTCTTGCCACTTGTTGTTGCTACTCTGCAAACAGCTAATCTGCTAATACACTGAGTAGCTGCCTGTCAGGTGGTGCTCAACACCTCAGAGCTTTTGCTTCATTTTGGTGTTTCTGTTTAATGGTTTTTGGGGGCATTGGTGCTCAACATGCGCCTGGTTCTCCAGAGAAAACATCCAGTGAGAAAGTAAACCAAGCGTTTCCTTATGGAGCCACATTCACCAGCTCTCTCTCCCTGCAGCATAACCCTGTATGGTCATGGGACTGCTTCGACAATGGCTGCACTCTATTTATCTTTATCTGTGTATATATATGTGTGTGTGTGTGTGTGTGTGTGTGTGTGTGTGTGTGCACGCGCGCATGTGAGGGTCAACAGCTCATGAAAGGGATATGTAGCAGTGGCACCATAAAAGGGATTCAGAGAGGAGGAGGGAGAGCAGCATTCCTCTTCATATTGAGGCTTACCGTTTAAAATCATGTTGCATTTATTTGTCTCAGGAACATGCGCATGCAATCATAATTCACTGACCCTGTGCATCTTAATAGTCCCAAACTTTCTGTCTAAAAAAGTCATTATGCACTATTTGTATTCATTAAGACATGGTAGCACATCACAAAAAGCCATCGCTAATATTGACAACAAAATAAATATATATATATTAGGGCCGGGACTCGATTAAAAAAATTAATCTAATTAATTACAGGCTTTGTAATTAATTAATCGCAATTAATCGCATTTTTAATCGCATATAAATATTTGACCTGAGAACAGTGAGAAGCAATTTTTTTCACATGGATTTTAGTATACCATTGAATAATGACTGAATACATAAGCTTAAGCAACAAAACATTGTTTATTTTTTTCAAGGAGGTTCTTAACCAAGACCAACAGAAAAGTGCAATTTTTGCCATAAAGTGTAGCAATAGCATATTTAGGAATATAGTACATTTCAGAGATTCAGGTAGCCTATAGGTAGGTAGACCTTCTGTAAACTATAAGACTTTGTTTTTTAAGTAAAACACAATACTTTCAAGTACATTCAGAACATTGGAAACCCTGACTATTAGAAAACATCTCTCTGTTGCTTCAGAGGCCATAACAGACTTTGTTGATTTACCAACAGTTGATTTAAAAAATCTAATAAATTTCCGTCCAACTCTCTCAATAACCTTGGCCAAAACAATAAACAGTTCAACATAAAGTGCCAGTTGCACCAACAACGTAATAAATAGTTCAACATAAAGTGTACCATTTAAAATAAAATAAAAAAGTGCCAGTGATTGACCTCAATCCCTCCTATTCTTCCAATATCCTGATGAAAAATAAAATCTCTCTGTTGCATAGGCCACTGTTTGATCAACGCGAATTGGGTGTGGGTCCTTGTACTCCGAGTCGGGCTAACGTCCACGCTAGCTTCCACGCTAGCTGCTATATGTTTTGCATTGAGGTGATACTTGAGGCTTGATGTGCTGCGGTGATATGCGAATTCCTTTTTGCATAATTTGCAAACAACCGTGCTCTTATTGACGCTTCCATCCGTCCGTTTTTTAAAACAAAATGTCCCATCTATAGGGCCAACCAAAGCGGTCTCATCAGCTTCTTCGTTCACGTTTGGTGGTATAAAGGTGTTAGTTTTACGGTGATATAAATATATAGAGTCTCGCAAGTGTCCTTGGTAGGTGCGGCTGAAAAGACACTGAGCAGGAGCTGGTGTCGTCCTTGTACTGACCCGTGTAAAGCTTTTATGGTTCGGTCACTTGTGATAAAGGGGGCGCCGGCGCAGCTGGTCAGTTAAGTCTCGGTCGTGTCGAGAATACATTGACCACGGCACACACCACACACACACACACCACACACACAACACAACACACACACACACACACACACACACACCACACACACACCACACAACACACAACACACACACACACACACACACACACACCCACACAAACACACACACACACACACACACACACACACACACACCACACACACACACACACACACACAAGAAACAAACACCACAACAAGAGTCGTGTCTTGATTGAGTACAATCCAAGACACCGTTGGGTATTCGACGTCGCACAGACCTGGTCCACCGTCCAATTACTCCACCAGTCTTCCTTTAGGTTTCAACCTTAATGATATCCAAGTTGTTTATTGGTCAATTACTAAGAGCGCTAACAAAACTTCCCAGGTTTTTGGGTTAAATACAAGTCAAAAAGAATAATTTGTCCCTACTTTTACGTTTTTATTCACTGATGTTCTTCCAGGTCAACACATATCATATGTTCTCATGTAATTTTTTCCTAATATGTTCTAACGTTTTTACCCACGCAAATTACGATACGATAGAACACCAAGAATGGACAGAAATAACGAACATTGCCTTTTTGAAAGGGCTGTGTTGGCAAAAAGGGTCTGGATTAATTATCTAAACAGTAGGTATATGGGATGACCTA